CAGCTAAAAGCTTTCAGTCCTACAGAGAAAGAAAGAACTTGTTTATCATTTAATCAAGCCAAGATTATGCTACTGGACAACATAAATTTCATTACAAATTTGATAACATGCAATAACTTAAAAAAATAAAGTAACTGCATAATTTATGAATTATATTACAGAAATTTTTATGCTAAACTCAGATCCGAGTAATGGGTTTCTAATTACAAGGCAGAACAGTTATTAGGACACAAAAAAACATATCCATACACTTCAAGTTACATGTTCAAGTCTTCAGAGATTATGACCGTCAGCAGTGGACGAAGTTATTTGGTCATGGCCAAAAATAAAAAATAATGAAAACTAAATTCTTAATTTTATAAACTATTTCAGTTCTTTATTGAAAAAGCAACTTTAGAAACCAAGGAATATAAATGTAATGTCCGCCATCTTCATGAGTGACAACAGATAAAGCAGCCTACTTGTTACTATTACTTTTATGGGGGAGGTAGCTTTCTCACATGTTCTCCCATTCCAATCTATTATTGTTTCGAGCTCATAAAACTACATGGCACAGAATAGAGTGGATTTAAGATTTCCCAAAGGGCATTAAAACAGAAAGTGGCATCAGCTGTTGCACCAGAACTTGAATTCAGCTTGCCAATTCCAGTAGCAGTCATCAAATAATCTGGCTATAAAAGACTAAAACAGTTTCTTTATTGACCTAAATTTATACATTAACTTGCAGATGAATTCCTTGTACTATCCCATGTACCAATTCTTGTTGATAAATTTCAAAAGCAAATTTATTAAGCAATCATAATTGACTCACAAAAATTAACATCATCTGCATTCATTGTGATCATTTTTTTTTTATATTAAATACTTTGTAATTTGAAAATCTTTAAAATTGTTAAAAACAAAAAATTATTTAAAAAGCAATTGGCAAATGTTTGTTTCCGATATATCACGAATGATACTAATTTAGAGAAGAAAAAAAAACAAAAAAAAATGAAGTTTTGAATAAACTATTCACAACTTATTACAAAGTAATTATTCTAATTCTATAACTTGGATTCAAAGAAAGGTAAATAATATTGCATTGCACTATATTTGCAATTAAAAACAAGTAACTGTTTGAGAAACCAAATCTAATCAGAAAATTCAAATGACAATATTTCATTTTAAAAAAAAAAAAAAAAAAAAAAACTAATATAAAACTATGCAAAGAAAGCTAATAATAATTCTAGAGTCAAAGCTTTATTTTTGTCCAGTTAACTCTTCCCCTTAAAATCTTATTTTAATTTTTAAAGTAACCCTGTAAATACAAATAGCCAGTATTTCTTTACATATAAAAAAAAAGAGAAGCTATTTGCAGAAAAATGTGATGAAAAAATCATTTTAAATAAAAAAACTTAAAAATTAAATGACAATTTAAACAAGAGATCCAACTCTAAAAGTTTGAAGATACAGTCATGGTTTTAAGATCAAGATTAAGTGCACAATTTAAAATATTGACATGATTTTAAATGATTTCAAAATAGTCTACTGACTAATCATATTTCAGATAATAGTTTATCTTCTGTATTGAGTGAATCAATCTTATGAGCAAACGACTAAAAAAACAAGTAAAAAGATAAAAATAAAGTATGTTCAGTAATAAACGCTTAACAAAATAAATCAGCATAAAATTAAAAAAAAAAAAAAAAAAATCAAGTGTTACTGTTAAGTAAATAATTTTAAAGTAAAAACCATCACACTTTTAAAAGTACAATAGAAAAGGTCAGTAATTTCATTTTATTTTTAACATTTTTAAATTTTACATTTCCATAATTGTTTAAGGACACATAAACGGAATATTGTCAAACACTAAAAATAAAATAAATATCAGAAAAAAAAAAAAAAATGAAATAGATAAATAAAAAAAATAATCTAAATTTTGGCTTCATACAGAAAGTAAAAATTAACAGCAGTTTTAAAGAAAAAAGACTTCGGTTTTATTAGATTTCAATAGATATCAATGATGCATTGCAGATGCTAGCATCTGCAATGCATTGGAATCTATGTAGTTTATATTAAGTATAAACCTCAAACAAGAATATTTATCACTTCTACGGCATGTAAAATTTTATAACAAAAGAACAATATCAAAGTAAAATAAAATGTTTTACATATTTAATTTGTAACAATAAACAAAAATAAACGACCGCTTTTCAAAGCATTCCTTCAGTCATTAAAAAAATAATGACAGTTGAAGTGATTGAAATACTAACTAAGAAGAGTGACAACTTTCTCCATTGTATGTATACTTATACATTTTCTTTCTACTTACAAAAACAAAAAGAAAAAAAAAATTAAGAACCCCCATTAAATAATAACATAAAAAAAGATTTCTCTGAAAATAATGTTTGATGCAAAAAGACATTGGGTGTTAAATTTAAGAAAAAATATATTTTGATAAGAAAATCACTTTAGTGTTTATTCTCTGAATAAAATTTTGATGCATTCTTAAGATTTTACAGAAAAAGTAAATTGCAATTCACAAAACTACAATTAAAAATTGACAATGAACTATTTACAATATCGCAAGACATGATTTCGTATGGACATAAACTTATAAAAAAAAAAAAAAAAAAAAAAAAAAAAAAAAAAAAGGTAGGAAAATTCAAAATAGAACTAAAACTAAATGAAAAAAGGATAAAAGAAAAAAAATGCACAAAACAAAATTATTACACTGAAATTGTGTAACTGCTTTTTAAAAAGGGACAGAGAGAAAAATTAATAATGTGATTGGTTTTTAAAGTATCTAATAAAACTAAAATGTCTATAGTCAAACTGCTATTGCAATGCCGATGATCGACTGATGAAGCGACCAAGAGATTAAATTTTATTCCGCATTATTAGAGCAAATTATTCAATAAGGACAGACCACTTGATAATCATATTACCCTAATTTATTTTACTAATGAACTAAGCAAACAGAAAAGAGAAAATATAAATCATTCTTATAGTCTAAGTTATACATAATGAATTGGACCCTTTTTATTTTATTTTTCCTAAGCCACGAATGAAATCCTTTTCCATAGAAAGGTGTTAAAAAGAATTTTTCTTACGAAAATAAATCCAAACAAACCAACGATTGATAGAATACATTTTTACATATATTAACCTAGAAAATTAAAAAAAAAAAAAAAAAAAAAAAAGCTTTTTGTTCTTCCTATTTCTGGATAAATTATTTCTGTTAACGAAAAGACTAAAAAGCTGATCGTTGTTATATGAAAAAAAAAAAAAAAAAAAAAAAAGACTGAATTGAAATGACATAACTACACTAGAGAGTAACAAGAGCTGAATATCCTTCAGGGATTATTTAAAAGGCCTGTGGGATTAGGATTTCATTTCGTTCAACTAGCCAAAGATTAAAGAATAAATCGCCTGAAATTAAAAAAAAAAAAAAAAAAAAAAAACTATTTCAAATTGTAACTCAATCAAACAAATATTTTGGACACCAGTAAAAACAAGAGACGAAAACAGTTGATTATCCATTTCTTTTAACGTCCTTCATTGTACAGTTATGACCTTTTTGGTTTCGGGGAGGGGGCCCACCTGTAGATTTTAATTTCATTCTTAATAACAGAATAACATTTTTGTTTCTGATAAAAAAAAAACAAAGAGAAAAGATCTGATCGACATTAACAAAAAAAAAAAAGTGTTTCTTCTTTGCCAACGAAGAAAAAAAAAAAATGGAGAGAAATAGACAGAAAAAAATATATACACTATTACTCATACAAGCTTTAAACAGCCATTATAATTTTTTGCATAAAAATGATATATAAAGACTAAAAAGGTAAAGAGGTTTGTTTTGTTTTTTTTTTTATTTATGGAAAATCAGAGAGAAAAAAGATCGATCGAAACAGAATAAAAATGCTGTCAAATCAATGGTGCTGAAGCTTGTTTGAGCCTATGGTTAAAGTTTAACCGTTAAACAAACAAAAATAACTGATTTTAAAAGCGACAAGTAAAAATTCAGTCGTCTAAATTGTGAAAAGGATTTCTTTTTATATCGGCAACACAAGACGAGAAAGGAAGACGATCAGGTTCTCGGGGGGGGGCTTTTTTTTTCGAGACAACGCTTCACGAATGGCAGAGACACAAGATATGACCTTATGACAGAGATTCAAACCAGAAAATACTTCATAAAAACAACTTATGTTGAAAAAGGGCAAGTCAATATTAACAGGAGAAATTCAAAATGAATTACATAGAGATAAACAGAGACAAAAAATAAAAAAAGGATGTGGCTATGTACGTACGTTAGCATAGTACTTTAAAAAGGAAAGTAACTACTTAGAACCAGCTGATCATCATTCTTTGACATTGTGCACACACACACAATATATATATAAATAAATGTCAGTGGTAGATAGATCGTACAAGAGAAAAATAGGAACTAATAACAGTTAGACGTACTCAACCGCTTTTAAAAGCAGTTTTTTTTTGTTTTTGTTTTTTTTAAATCAAGATGGTCCAGGTGTTTTAATGACTTGCTAAATTTTTCTTGTTTACGGTTACCAGTGGATATAAATATATAATGCACACAACGATCTAATGCTTAAGTTTTAAGGTCTACTTTATAAAGGATAGACACAAAAAAGTGAACCTGATACTTATTTTTTTTTTTTTTTTTTTTAAATAAACATGTATACTTTTTTTTTTTTTATTAATGCTAGATTTTTTTTTAGCAGCACTCTTTTTTGTTCATAGTGCATTTGACTACTAGTACTTTTATATTGCGTGATATGTGCATGTGTGTGCATGTATGTATATTCACACACACGCACTGATGCTTAATTAGATCAAGTTTAGTAAAGACATCTGTTTTATACCATATTTTTTTAATGGTCTCCTGATATTTTATTTATAACAAAATATTTAAAATAAATAAATAATAATGAAAATTGAAAACAGAGTAGACAAACAAGAAATATGATAGGAATGTGGTTGTAATAAAAAGGGGTCCTCACCTCCCTTCCTGTTGGCACATGTTTAGCGAGCTTCACTTTAGCAAAATTTCCTTTGCCTATCGTCTTCATAAGACGATATTTGCCTATGTGAGGCTCATCCGACGTGCGACTCCTGGAGGTTATCCGAGGGTTGGCGTTGTCATCAGTACTCTGGTATCGTAGGTAGGTAGGTAGACCCCGGCAAGCAAGGGAGAAGAAACAAGATAAATAAACATTACAAAACAAAAACAACACTTTTTCAGGATAGGGAAGGAATTAAATTTCAAGTATCTTCATATAGCATAAATTTTACACGATATTAACTACAAATTTGAAAGGTAATTTTAAAACCTGAATAGAAAATGGGATGGTATAACTAAAACACATATGCATATGTATGTATATATTATTACAGTGGGAACTTCTACGTGTGTGTACACACACACACATACATACATAACATATGAGAGTTTTTTGTATATATACATATATATTTTTAAACAGTATTTTTGTTACTTACATGATGGTGATCAATTGTCACCGATTCGTGTACCGTTTGCAGAATGGGCCTGGTAGACATGTTGAATAACTAATAATGAACAACACACCAGATTATAATCAAAGGTAGAGAGAGACACAGACAAGCCCTCTTTTCTTTTCCTCTTTTTGTTTTTTCTCCTCTCTACATATAATTTTTTTAATTAAAAAAAATTTAAAAAAAAAATAAAAAAGAGCCTGCCTCGGCGGCCAAGCGACCCCCCCGCCTCACTACTCCTTCACTTGGATAATTTCTTCTCGTCCACCCTCAATGCCGATGATCCGAAATAGACGAAGAGGTCTTTTATATATATATATTTTTTATCCTGCAAATATAACCAGTGGTTCCCTCAAAGATTCCTTCTTACAAGAAGGAAATAGGTCATAGAAAGCTCGGTCCAATAGGAGTGGACTGAGGTCCAGCGTGCGATAGGAAGGCATTTGCGACAACTCCAGGGGGGGGGGATAAGAGAAAAATTATTACACAGCCTTTTTTTTTTCTTTATTTTTTTCTTTATTTTTACTTTTTACCCCCTTCTTTTTCGGTGTTATAATACAATTATTCAAGAAAAAAAAACTTCAATAAATTAAAAGATTCACATCGGGCGTTTTCTCTTTGTGTTTCGTTTCGTTTCTTCTGAAACGATATATATTTTTTTTCGTTTTTCGTCGTTTAGTAATCACCCTCTTCTTGGTGTATGTTATATTTCGCTTTTCTTTTTTTTTCTTCCCTCCCTTTCAGGAGGGAAATGTTGGTGTTTTATCCATAGCTCAGCAAGTAAACTGAAAAATCCTACTTCATCGTTTGCTATCCAACCTTGGTAGTTGTTTTTTTTTTTCCTTTCTTAAACAAAGGCTTTCATGTATGCGTGTATGTATGTAGGTAGGTAGGTGTATGTATGTGTGTGGGGGGGGAGATTTCTGTTATTCTGTTCTTTTTCTTCTCTCTTTTTCTCTTCAAGGCGAACGCGGAGAGCCGACAACAGCCAACATGGCCGCCGCATTATCTGTTCTGTTGGTTGTTGTGTATGTGTAATGCGAGATGTGCGCTGTTCATTGGTCGCCGCTGCACCAATATGACATCATCAATGGACGTCGACGAGGAGCCAGCAGCAGCTGGAAAGGAAGCTCACTTCTTTTTCGAATGCGAGAAGAGAAAGATAGGTAGAAAAAAAAAAAAAAACAAACAGCATAATAAAAAAAAAAAAAAAAAAAACTTAAGTTGACACATCACACTTGGTTAGTTTAGTTAGTAGCAGCAGCGTCATTTTGTAACGTTCTGAGCAACAAACAAGGTCATCAGATTCGTGGGTTTTAAAAAGATTAAAAACAAACCCCTACCTTAAGTTTTTATTAACATTTTAATTCAATAATCTTAACAGCTTGGGTTATTATGGATTTTACAAATAAAAAAAAAAAATCAGCGATTCGGAGGAGGACAACAATCTTCTACCGCAACTATACAGCAACTTAAAAATCTGTCAGTATCTTTAAGTTAAAATACTAACAATTAAACTAGTAATTATGACTGTCCGCACGATTGATGGATTTTTTACAAGATTGGCGTGAAAGAAGGGCAAATGTACCCTAGTACACTAATAGGGCATGTGACTACTGGAGCATTTGGTTCTTATAGCAAGCTAGCCAAATTCACACGTTCAAAGAGTTCGATCCTCACTGGGTGCCATTGTACTAGAGACTTAAAGTAGTTTTTTTAGTCACTAAACTAAGCTTATTACCCCAAAATTGTGTGTGGCAGTAAAACCAATACCCGAAGAAGAGTTGTAAATCGGTACAACGATACTTTTTTTTTTTTTACTAAATAGTAGTTAGTCATAAGTTCGAGTTATTGTGGATTTTACAAGTAACAAAAATAAAAACAAATAAGCGCCACTGGTGGTTGACTGCAGCAGCAAGATAAAGACTGGAACTTCGCCACTAACCATTTCCCATTTAGTAATTTACCAATTTTCAACTTAAGAAGACGAAAAGAAGAGACCAATAATTAAAAATATAGTTGCAACAAAGTTATTTATAATTTAAATTAATCAAAGGATTGTCTGCATTATTATTATTATTATTTTAATCCAAACCAACTGTTCTCCACAGTACAGCAGGTTGGCCTTGTTAACCGATGAGTTAAATGTTGCCTTGTACCATACGCAAATCATAATTAACAAACAAAACACTTTGTAGGACTACTTTTAGTTTTTTTAAACCAACACTATCAAGTTGATAGTATCAACAGATGACTTGTTTCGTAGTGTTCATAAAAATCATAGGTTCGTTAAAGGATTTTTACAACTAGCCACAAGCTAAGCTAAGCTGAAGCAGCAGCACATTGTTGTATTGTGGATTTTACAAGAAGACCGTGACAAGGCCCATAGTAGAAGTAATATAGTTACAAGGGCAAGGCTATTGCAGAAGTCATCAACTGAGAAATGAGAACATTAATCAGGTTATATATCGTAGCAGTATTATTACTAAATTATTTTTTTACCACTAACGGACTGATTTTTAAAGACTACAACCAAAGGAGGCTACCTTTATTTTTTAACCAAAATAGTTTTTGAAATGTGAAAAAAACTTGTTAAAATAAATTATTTGTACAAATAATTCTTTCTTTTAATTTTATCTTTTCTGATTGGACTTTATAAGACTGACAAAAAAAATCAGATTTAAAAAGTGCAATAGATATTACAAAAAAAGTTATACCTCATCCTGTCTCAAGCTGTCATTTTTCAAAGGTGCAAAGCGAATATAAACAAAAATACTTAAAAATTGCATTTTTATAAATATTACAACACAAGTCATGATGTAGATTTTACAAGTTTAATTACTATTTGTAGAAAAGCGTTGTTTTAGTTTTATTTAACTTTTATATTTTTTTTAATAATAAACAGCTGTTTGTCCAAACTAACTACGATAAACAAGGCAAGGGTGATGCACTTCTAAAGACACCGTCAATACAAGAATTGCAATATTTTTATTGAAATTAAACAGTGGGCAAAAATTAGTTCACCAAAAAAGGTGTGTGTGTATCAAACTAGAGAACCTGCTTAAATCCAAGGCAAGAAGAGGTCATTCATAAAGCCACGAGTTTGAATATTACTGCTATTTTTACTTGTAAAAAAACATTTAGCATTTGAAAAATACAAGTTTTTTTTTTATCAAGAAATAAATAAAACTAAAAAAGCAAGACATCTCCAACTAAAGACCTCATAAAAATAATTGTAACACTAGCACTCCAACTTGCAATTATTTACATCACCTGAGGACTATGTTGAGATTATTACATAAGACATCAGGACAAAAATACTCATTAGTAATATAATAATAATGCTAGTAGTAATCCCAGTGCTTATTACCAAGTATTTAGTCATCATAAATTTTACAAGAATGTAATAATGGCCACCTCATCGAAAAAGAACAAAAAATAGCTATTCAGTAGTACTGCTGCATTTATGATTTATCAGTTCAATAATGAGAGAAAACTATCGCTATAAAAATACATGCAACTTAATTTTCTAGGTTGAATGGAAGATTGAAGCTAAACCTCATTGATGAACATTGAAGTAAAGCTCCTTAAGGATAGACGCAGAGAAAAGAAAATGCTAGTAACTAGTTTTTTACACGAACTCTTTCTTTCGGATATTGATTTATCACTTAAAGTAAAACTAAAAGAATTTTGGTTGGATTTTGTGCGTTAAAGAATCGCAAATAACCGTATATACAAAGAATGTCATTTCAGACCTCTCGACTTTCTCTCCCATACTCTACCCAATTGCAATAGAAAGAATCCAGTTTAAAGATATAGGTATTTGAATGGATGGGTGGGTGTTAAATCAATGAAAGTGGTTCATAGTTAAAAAATAAAAATTAAATTAAATATGGTAATATAAAAAAATTTTTTTTTTTTAAGTATTTTAATCTCTAATAATAATTTCTTCTTTCTTCTATCGAATTTCGTGAGAAAAGCTAGGGAAAAGAGAGAGAGAGATATCGTACCGGTTAGACTTGTTTGTTAGCAACCGGAGAGAGAGAACTGATTTTAAAACTCAAAAGTAGAACCCCCGGCCAGTAAGAGGCAAGTCCAGAAGAGCTAGCTAAATCCACAATACTACTATTGTACAGAATTCTACTTTAGCTGCATATGCAATGTAATTAGAAGCAACAGCAGAGACGGTTACCAGTGCAATAGAACTGGTGTTACTGTTGGTCATTCTGATGACCACAAAAAGAAATAGTTACTTTTTTTTTTTATAATTGCTTACAATTTTAAGATTAAAAAATGGGAAACAGTTTTTTAGTCCATATATTAAAAAGTAATCAAGGAAATAGTCTATATATACCAAAAAAAAGATTATCACAAAGGCGAAATTGTCAAAGCTTCATTAAGACCGCAATATAGTGCAATTGATCAAGCACCTGCAACGTAATTTTAAAGGAATTGTGATGCATTTTTGTTTTTCTGAAGCGTTATTCAATTTTTTTTTTTTTTAAATCAAAGTGGAATATTTTGGAAAGTTAAGTGAATGTGTTTGTTTTTTTGTTTTTATTCACAATGGCCTTATTAATTATAAAAGTTGGAAGACGTCTTTATAAAAAAAATATACTAACAGCGGAGATGGTACATTTTTATTTTTGTGCGCACACAAAAAACACTAACGTCAAAATTCAAGAGGGCGGGGTGTCCGATAGTGTAAATAATGTTTGTTAAGCATTAAAGTATTTTCTTAAAAAAAAAAAAAAAAAATTAGGTTTGATAATCGAAAAAGAATTGTAATAAGTATTTTTAAAAATATTATTATTAAATATTAATGAACTGAAAAATCTTGGTATCGTCAAAATTAAACAAATAAACTGCCGTTCCAGTTCATCAGAGTATCGCTCTGTGCAAGCAGAAAGTTGGATGATTGAAGTAGTTAGTAGAAAATAAATGCAATGGTCATGTGTATTTTTTAAAATGCTATTTCATACAAGCATCATTTGAAATGTGATAATAAATAAACAAGCTAGTTCAATAAAACAGTGCTAATGTCT